TCTTTGAAGACAGATTTTCAATTTGTGTTCTTGGGTTTTTGTAGAAAAGGAAAATGCAGGATATTGCATCTTATCTCAGATGTACATGTATGATTATAGCTTCAAACTGTGTAAGTGGGGAAATTTTTACTGTTTTTTACCATGCCCTTCTTAAACTACAGCATAAATAAATGCTACAGTCACAGCTGCAGATAATTTAACCAAACTACAACTCTGGCTACTCCTTCTGTGAGCTGAGACCTTGGAGTCCAGAGTACGGCCTTTGAACATGTTATTTCAGTACTAAGCTGCTTTGGAAAGAATCCAAACTAAATGGTTACTAAATCTGCTCCACGGTTGCAGCGTGGTGTCATTAAATGCGGTGAGGATTGCAGAATTGTATTCCTGTCTCTGAGTCAGGTAGAGAAGCAGCATTGAGTAGACCTCCAAGCACACACACCTTTATCCTCAAAACCGTGAGTTTTCGATACTGGCACTTGTGCCAGAAATTGATGGGGTACTAGCAGGTACCTGCATATGGCCTAAATGACTAATGAGGGAGGCTTTAATTTTAGTAAATACAAGCTGCTGCTATCTCCTCTGGTTACTTCTCCTTTTCAAGCTCAACTACACCTCATAGAAAAGAGCAGTCAGATTTTTCTCTACCCCCTGTGCCTTCTCTCAACAATCCATTACTCTGATGATACCCTTTGATATGTCTCATTCTCATCTCTTCCTACTTTGTCCTCAATTTCTCATGCCTCTGAAATATGACTTCCATATCCAGAACCCCATTCACACTGCTCATTTTGACTACACCAACCTCTTCCCACTGAAACGCACAGTAGGCTCTGGGCAGTGCTTATCCAAGTGAAGTTTTTTTGTAGTATAGAGAAAACTCCTGTCTTTCTGAAACTATCTCCTCTCTGCCATAAATTTCTCCTGTCTTTTTTTCTGCTGTACTGTATATAGACAGCTGAATCAAATAATTCTAGAAAAACAGAACATAGAATAAATGAATAAACTCAGCGTGTGTTATTAGCAGCAATATCTCTGAGGTGCTACTCATCCAAAATAGGTCATTCTCTCTGGATGGTAAGGAAGATACTGATGTGCAAGGCTTCCGTAGCTTAGGACTACTTACCTCCCTGTGATTCTATTTAACAGAATTGACAATATCATATTTAATATAACATTTTTAAAACTATGTGCAACATACAGTATTCTTTAATAACTATGAAAAAGGTTTTGATTTTTTTATTATAAGCCTATTATGTACCATATCCCTCTCCCCTCTATTCTAAAAATTTATCTGGATTCCTTTGAAATCATATAGTATGCAATGCTGTAACTTTGCATAAGGATACCTCTCAGTTCTGCTACGTAGTAAATTCCACATAAAGATAAGAATCATTTTTGGTTTCTCTTGATCTACCTTATGGAATCTCACATGTATCAGGTTTTCAGTAAATTATGTTGAATTAAAATGTTAGACATCTTTGTGGAGAAGAAGCAAGACTTAAAATACCCTTTACAGTAGTAAATTTTCAGTTAGGAATCTGATATTTACCTAAAATTGTAGCACTCGTATTTTGACCAATGTTATGTTACCAATTTTCTAATAGCTAGAAGATACAAATCACAGCCAGATATAGCAATAATGTGACTTGACTTGTGATTTTCTAGTTTATATAACAACTAAGTTACATAATCATAGATTCAACAGCAGTATTTTCTGATAGTTACAATATATTCCCAGCTATCTTGACACAATAAATAATACACACATATCTGAGTTGCAATGAATAATAAAAGAGCATATTAAAATCAAATGCAGCTTGTAAAGAATATAAGTTTCAGCTACACTCTGAAACTGTAGCTGCTTGTCCTTTGTACTGCTTTGAAAAGATGCCATTTATTTCTGACTATGATTAATGGAGCTTTTTAGGTGGCCAATTTCCTTTGGCATTTAACAGAGTTTGTGTCCTAAGGCTTTGTCTTGTTTCAATTATAGAATCATTTGTAAATCTGCAGAAGCAAATAATGAAATGCTGGACTTTAATTATATTTTTATTAGTGTAAATCTTTCAATACCATAAGGTAAGTAGGAACATACATAACTTTCATCAGAACTACTGTGGTTGTACATTCTGTAAAGTTATGTCAGCAGGAGATTAACAACAGGGCTGCCCAACAGTGACATGAGGCCTGACGGCCACTCGATGCCAACAAAGCAGCAATGTCTAGAAAACTGCCAAGTTGTGAATTGATCCCAGGGAGCAGGAAGCCCACTTCAGTGAGTGCGACCCATATTTGTCATTTTACAACACTCAATCAAACAAACAAAATATCTTGGAGTTATTTGTGAATGATGACAAATGAAAGGAGGAAAAAGGAAAAGTAAGATAGCAATAGATATTTTAAAGTATCCACTTTGAGCATAAGAACACGTTCAAAGGTATCAAAAATTAGTAAAAAGGAGTTTTCCTGTTACCATCAGAGAACAAGTCCCAGTAACAAAATAAATGAGGCAGGAACACTAAGAAAGCTTTCATACCGGGGCTGGTGTTGTGGTGAAGCAGGCTGCACTGCCACCTGTAGCAGCATCTCATATGGGTGCTAGTTCACGTCTCGGCTGTTCCACTTCCAATCCAGATTCCTGCTAATGTGCCTAGGAAAGCAGCAGAAGATGACCCAAGTCCTTGGGCCCCTGCCACCCACGTGGGAGACCCGGAGGAGGCTCCTGTCTCCTAGCTTCGGCTTGGCCCATGCCTGGCCTTTGCAGCCATTTGAGGAGTGAACCAGCAGAAAGATGGAAGATGTCTCTTTCTCTCCCACTCTCTCTGTAACTCTGCCTCTCTAACAGATAAAGTGGATCATTGGACAAAAAAAGAAAAAGAAAGGTTTCATACCATCAAGATACATATTCATTGAGTAGGAAACAAGAGAAAGAGCACTGGGTTTCTGCGCAGAGGGGAATCTAGGCAAGATTTGGAAAGATAATTGCTGGCATGCATTACAAACTAAAGACTAAATGGAGCAATAGACATATCAGAATAATTATATAGAAATTAACATGCCCTCTTTCTCTCTCTTTGGGGAATTTTTTTGTCCTTTAAATAAAAATGAATCAACTGCCACGTATTTCATTTGGCAGGGTATCAGGGGTATCAGGTAATTTATATTTCAAATATGATCTCTTCATCAGTTCCATTTGTTATAACCCTAGCATCAGGAATGTTTGAAACTGTAACATAGAAAACACACCCAGAAGTCAAAATCCCTGAATCCATGAGACTCACATATTAACCAGAAAACTGAATAAATATGTTCTTATCATGCAAGTGCTATGTATTCATTTTAAATCTTCCATTTCAATCCATCTAGCTCTGTATCCTAACTCTAGAACCAAAGGATAGAAAAACTGGGTGCCTCTTATAGATTGAACTCAATAAGTATTAATTCTTTAAAAATAAGCCTTGAAAATTTTATTTATACCTCACCATAAAGTGAAACAATTACTAGGTAACAGGCTGCAATGCTAATCAGTCCTTTTACGGGCTACTGATAGATTCAAAGATGCTTTTTTTCCCCTTCTTTCACATTACCTTTCAAAACTGAGACCTAGAGAAAGCAGGAAGTTTCTAAGACAGTGAGGGTGTAAAGACCTATTCCCTGTTCTGGGAATCCAAGTTCACAGCTGCTTTCTTAATTTGGGTGCTTAGACCAGATGACTTCCCCTCCACATGCAGAGAAATCTGGGTGGGAATAGGGAGGAAACATCTCATCCTCTCGTGCAAGGCTGTTTTCATCTAATAAACACTCCCACCTCCAGAAAGCTTGCACACACCTGCTCTGCATTCAAGATGCAATTCATTTCTCCTCTGTGCTCTTTTCCCTCGTCCCATCCTGGCAGATTTAACCAAGCCTTCCCTTGGGCCAACACTTTTCCTGGAGTGCTGTTATCATTACCCTTTATAAAACTAAATTTTGTTTGTTCATTTGAATGTCTGTCTCCTCTACTAGAGTGTGTGTATGAGTACCCAGGGCCTTACCCTAGTGGTTATATGACTTACCCCTCAAACTAAACCGTTTCCCCGCCAAGAGAGGAAGTTAAATAAACAATACCCCTCCGATGTACATCTTCCCACATAACCAAATAAGGAAGAACAATAATGGATCCTCATAAGTACCATTGTCCTTTTTTTTTTTTTTTTTTTTTTTTTGACAGGCAGAGTGGACAGTGAGAGAGAGAGACAGAGAGAAAGGTCTTCCTTTGCCGTTGGTTCACCCTCCAATGGCCGCCGCGGCCGGGGCACCGCGCTGATCCGATGGCAGGAGCCAGGAGCCAGGTGCTTTTCCTGGTCTCCCATGGGGTGCAGGGCCCAAGCACTTGGGCCATCCTCCACTGCACTCCCAGGCCACAGCAGAGAGCTGGCCTGGAAGAGGGGCAACCGGGACAGAATCCGGTGCCCCAACCGGGACTAGAACCCGGTGTGCCGGCGCCGCTAGGCGGAGGATTAGCCTAGTGAGCCGCGGCGCCGGCCGTCCTATTTCTTTTACATCTTCTCTTCCATAGTTGAACCACAAGTGTCACTGCTTTGCTCAAGGGAAGAATAAAAATTGTGTTCAAAATGAATTCTGGCTAGTGAGTAAAACGACAAAATGGGTTTATGAAATTGTTATTGACTACAAGTGGTGGTGGAATTCGTTTCTGGGTTATCTCGTCAAAAATGTGTCTAGAGCAGTAGAATAGTCTCCAATAGAGAGATTGTGAGAGCTTACACAAGATAAGGTGTTGCTACTTTATTTCATCAATAGTTTAAGAGATTTTGTTGCCCCAAGTAAAGAAACCAAGAGCAAATGACTCAGAAATAACTATTCAGGTTTTTAAGTATCTGAGCATTCTCCATGTATTTTGGAGCATAAAAATGTTGATATAGATGCAGTGCTTGCATAAGTCTTTAAAGGAAAGTAAAAGCATATTTTTAGTGACTCTCTTTTTTTTTTTTCTCTCGTAGGATACTCAATACTCCAAGCTATTATGGAAAAAGCAGGACAAAATGGTTGGCATGTCAGTGCTATATGTGTGGAAAATTTTAATGATGTCAGCTATAGGCAACTTTTAGAGGAACTTGATAGAAGACAGGAGAAGAAATTTGTAATAGACTGTGAAATAGAGAGGCTTCAAAACATACTAGAACAGGTAAGTGAAAAATTTTACATCATTATTAACTGATACAATATGCCAAAAAAGTTGGCCTTTGATTGACTTGTCTCCATCAATATCCTCTCCCGATCTTTTAGTTTGCAGTGAAAAGTGTGGGGTTTTCACTCCAGACTTTATCTCAGGAGTGAATAATTCTTCATCACCAGAAGCCATTTGGGATCTTAGATCTCAATGCAGTTAGGAACACCATTTATCACACATTTTTAAGGTATAAACAATGAAAAACTGCTTCTGTTTTCAGAAATACTAATTTTAAAGATTAATACCAACTAAAATATTAGCAAATTTCAGGTATTGTGTGCTTTCTCAACATTTAGAAAAGTAACTACATGAAAAATAGCAACATAAATTGGGATTGCAATGAAATAAAAGAAAATGACATGGAATTCTGCCAGATGTTGTAAACGCATTACCACTACAGTGAAGATAGTTTTTTGCCCTCCTTGCAAAGGAAGAATCCTTGAACAAAGTTTTCAATAAATATTTGCTGATTTGATTTGAAGCTGGCAGGGAAAGATAAAACTGAGCTTTGTCATTGTGTTAAGTGATAGGAAAATAGCATCAAATAATGGATAACATTTGCCTTCCCCTAACCCGGCATATCTTGATAATGCTTTCAAAGACTATCTTCAGTCAAAACTGCAGTGAATGAATGCCATCTAGTGGTGCTGAAAGTTCTTGCTCCTGTTTTTCTATGATTTGTTAGGCTGGCTAGACAATACTGTGCCATAATTTTTGGGTGGTTTGTCCCTTGCAACATATTTATTTGTATCTGTAGTATTAAGTGTAACAATTTGGAGGACGATTTATAATAAAGACTTTAGTACTCATGTATAAAAATAAAAACTAGAATATATTTCCAAGACTCTTCATTAATATCTAAAGTCACTAACCTAGATTTCTGGTTTACTTCCTCAACTGCATTAGCAGTATATGAAAGTTAAAAAAAAATGCTGTGTTTCTAAAGTCTATTCAAGTCAGACTATAAAAGAGAATGACAGAGTGTCTACCTCCTGTTATTCTTATACAGAAGAAAAATTTTAAATATAATAGAAAACACTTAACTGAAGAAAAACATACACGGTTTTGTTTTTTTTTTTGTTTTTTTTTTTTTGGAAAATATTCATTATGTCTACACTTCACTCGGGTTTTGTATCCCTGTAGGAATACACAAATTAGTAAGGTTGTAACCATAAGAAATACGAAGTTTTTATTGAGTATTTATAGATTCCAGCAAAAAACTTTCTTAAGCAATGCAGTGACTTCAGCTCCAATTCCCATTCTCCTTCCCTCCCACTCCTGCCCCTGTATTGAGGGTTTGAGTGTTTGACCTGAACAACTGGAGCTTTGTAAATAACTCCTGATGAATCCCACAGAGCAGCCAATTCTAAGGACCGCCTGGATTGCCAAGTTCCTGTCAGAGGGTGAGTAAGGCTCAGAAAGACCCTCCACTTAGCACCTGTGCTTAAAAGACTGCGTCTAGAGGAGGCAATTGAGTGCCCAAAGCACACTGACCCATTTCAGAGGCTTAGCTGGTTTCTAAGAAGAAAATCCGCACACCCGGGCACTTTGGATAAACTCTGAATAAGCCTTAAGTGAGCGCTTGCTAAGGGAGCTGGACAACTTATTTTTTTTGAACATTTCGAGAGTGTACCTTATCTATTCTTTTCCCTGATTTCTGAAGGTTTTGTTTTCTATTATGACTGTACAGTAATATTGAGAATAATAATAGACATTTGTCCCTTTAAAATACTTCTCTGGTAGAAGCTTTATAAATTGGAACAAAGTCTACAATGTTGTGAGAATATAATGTCTTCTCAGTTGTCCTATAAAATCTCACCCCCACAAAAAATACCTTTCGATTCTGACACTGATTTTTTTACGCTATCTGTGTTGCAATTCCCGAAGCTCTAAGCACATTCACTTTTAGTGTTTCTTGGGTCTACTCTTGATTCATTCAAGTGTAAGAGTTGAATTTCTTGGTGAAGACTTTGCACAGGTACCTCAATACTTCTGTGTTCTAACATACTCTTTTAGAAGGCAACAATAGAAAACAACTTCAGAGAATCAACAAAAGCATTTTTGAAGAGACTGAGAAGAGTAGAAGGAGAGAAGGTGACAGGGAGAGATGGGTTAATCGATACAAAATCATGGCCAGATAGGAGGAATAACTCCTGGTGTTCTAATTATGCCAGAAATGTGATGGCCCCTAACAGCATTATAAGGTATAATTCAAAGCAGCGAAAAGAAAGGATTTTGAGTTTCTTCATCACAAAGAGAAATAAATGTTCAAGTGATGGATCACCTAAATAGCCTGTGTTGACCAAAACACAAGTGTCAGTGTACCAGAGTATCACACTGAAGCCATAAAAATGAATAATTCTTATCTTTCAATAAAAGTTTTTTAAATAAAAAAAAAGTAAAAAGTGAAATGCTAGCTAAACTTGACCAGGGAAAAAATGCCTTTTAAAACGTTGCCTCCTCTCAGAAGATGATGAAGTTAATGGCCTCGAGATAAGGATGTGCACTGGAAAATTTTAGAAGGATGGGCACAATTCCTAGGATGGTGGCTTGCTGTAAATAATTACTCTGCTGACATTTTCATTTGTGTCAATTTGCAAAAACATAATGGAAATAGCTCACACACTCACCCCTCAAAATATGTTAATGGACAACTGTGGTTAGCACAGCATTTCATCTTCTGTGCATGTTTTCCAGATTATTTTATGACATGTGTTAATTAGCTCTTATAAATATATTACCATTTAAAATAGCAGTTAACCATGTGCTTCATTCAAACATTTCAAAACATCAGCTTCAGGACATTAAATTACTTTAAGGCCTGGGGATACCTCTGTATTTGAATCCCTGCACAACGAGCTACACCCTAACTTGATACAAACAGCTGAGTCTTAGTCCACCAGCTGAGCATCAGTCTGTGACAGGCAGCCTGCTGATTCTAATAAGGAAGAACACAGAGCTGTAACCAAGTGAGTCATGTCTGTGTGTCACTTCTGTTTTCTGTCCATGCGTTCTGTCTGACCACACTGCAGTCCCAGAGTTCTTTGTGCCTCTTCTGGTTCTGAAAGTTTCCCGTTTCTAGGTTCATGAACAAAAGCCAATTCAAAAATTTAAACTACATTTATTGTAATGTCATCTTTGGACAAGAACAAGTATTTGAAAATGTCATGTAAGGTATTTTGGTTTTCCACCCTAAATTACCCCCATAAAAACAAAGAAATTATGTAAATAACACCCACTGAGCCACTTAAGGCAATAAAAACATAACAGCACTACCGAGTGATATTTACTGTCATTTTGTTTCTATCAACTACAATCAAACAAATCGCATTTTTGGCTTTCTAAATTCAATTGTAAATTTGTTCCACTCATTTACCATAAAAAAAACTTTGAAAAGAAGCAAAACAAAAAGTATGTTTTAAATATTTGCTGAACTTATGACTATTAGTAGTCTCCGTTTTAAATTTAAATTTAAATTGTGAATTTAATTGAAAGATATTATAAATGACAATTTTGAACACTAGTGTTATTTATCTCAATTTTCTTTCTCTACAATGCATCAGTTACCTTGTGAAACAGTTTGCACTGGCTTAATACAGGTAGAATAAAATAAGCTGCATTAAAAGCAAAATAAGTGAGTTCTAGTGGGAACCTTCTTTAATTAGTTATATCTGAGAGTTAGAGGGACGTAACTCCCATCTACTAGTTCACTCCCTAAATGTCCATAGCAGCCAGTAGTAGAACAGGTGGAACCTGGGAGCTGGAAACTGAACCCAGTTCTCCCAAATGGGAGGCAGAGACCCAACACCTGCTTCTCAGGGAGCAAACTAGCAGGAAAATGGAACGTCGGTGGAGCCAGGTCTCAGACTGAAGCACTACAATTTGTTACTCCAATAACAAAAAAGCAACCACAAACTTGATCTTAACTATCTTTCTGCCATCAAAAATTACTTGAGCAAAATGGCACTATGGCTAGTGGCTAGTCAAATATTTTCCACCATCATGAAAAACTCAAGATTCTGCAACTTGTTCTTCATGTTTTTATTGTCCACCGACTTTCCTCTCACAATAACCCTACTCTGATCCTCCGGGACAGAATTATCACACTGGCAGTGGATGCCTTGTCTTCTCTTCTGTCTCTTTCTTTAGTCAGGTGATATATCCCCCAAATTATTGTGGTACCAAAAAAGGTGTGTTTTCAGCTTTCAGTCTCTGAGAAATGGGTAAGAAGTCTCTAATCACTGATTTTTTAAATGTAAATGGAGGGCCAGCCGGTGCGTGGTACAGGTAGTTAAGCTGCCTTCTGCAGGGCCAGCATCCAATATGAGCGCCAGTTTGAGTATCAGCTGCTCCACCTCTGATCCAGCTCTTAGTTAATGCACCTGGGAAAGCAGGGGAAGATGGTCCAAATGCTTGGGCCCGTGCACTCACCTGGGAGACCTGGAAGAAGCTCCTGGCTCCTGGCTTCTGGCTTCTGACTTTGGCATGGCCAGCCCTGACTGTTGCGGCCATTTGAGGAGTAAACCAGCGGATGGAGGATCTCTCTCCCTCTCTCTGAAACTCTTTCAAATAAATAAATATTAAAAAAAAAAACAGTAAATGGAATCACTTAACACCTATTATTACTCTCCTCACTTTAAAAAAGCAGAGTTGAGATGATAATGGAAAACACTACTTGCTCCAAAAACAATTAATGCTGTTTCCAATGAAGACTTTCTGATATTGTGCTTGATTGTGAAGGAATATAGAATTTGCATGTGGGATATGCCTCCATAAGAGGTGTAAAGTAAAACTTCGCCCAGTTGGCTTTTTCTGGACACACTCTACAAATACCTGTTGAGTGTTCATTATAACTATATCCATATATAGGTATATGTATGTTTATACGGATAGATATAGATCTGCCTTGTTCTTTCAGAAAGCTTGTAGACAATGTAATTCAAAGATAATGTGCA